TTTCAGTTTGGTGAGTCCTATGTTTTGAATGACCTAATTATATGGTCTGATGATGTATTTGACTGTAACAGGTTCTTGAATGCTGGGATTTTTGGAAATGGAACTGAATCTTCTCAGGCACTGCCTCATTCAGCAACAAGAGCAGCCATGCTTGTTAGGATCAACACCCTTCTCCAAGGATATTCCGGTATCAGATTCGAAATCTTGGAGGCAATTACCAAATTCCTAAACAGCAACATCACTCCATGCTTACCCCTCCGTGGAACAATCAGTTCATCTGGTGATCTTGTCCCTTTATCCTACATTGCCGGACTACTTACCGGCCGCCACAATTCCAAGGTCGTAGGGCCCACTGGAGAATCCTTGACGGCTGAGGAGGCCTTCAAGCTTGCCGGTGTCAATGGAGGCTTTTTTGAGTTGCAGCCTAAGGAAGGCCTTGCACTTGTCAATGGTACAGCAGTTGGCTCTGGATTAGCTTCAATCGTTCTCTTTGATGCCAACGTTCTTACTGTGTTGTCTGAAGTCCTATCAGCAATTTTCGCTGAAGTGATGAATGGGAAACCTGAATTTACCGATCATTTGACGCACAAGTTGAAGCACCATCCTGGCCAAATTGAGGCTGCTGCTGTGATGGAATACATTTTGGATGGAAGCGCCTATGTGAAGGCTGCTCAAAAACTTCACGAAATGGATCCTCTGCAGAAACCAAAACAGGATCGATATGCTCTACGAACATCACCCCAGTGGCTTGGCCCACAAATTGAAGTGATTCGTTCTGCAACTAAAATGATCGAGAGGGAAATCAATTCGGTAAATGATAATCCCTTGATCGATGTTTCAAGGAACAAGGCGTTGCACGGTGGTAACTTCCAAGGGACGCCAATTGGAGTATCCATGGACAATACTAGATTAGCCATTGCATCAATTGGGAAACTGATGTTCGCTCAATATTCTGAACTTGTCAATGATTTCTACAACAATGGATTGCCATCTAACCTTTCTGGAGGTAGAAATCCTAGTTTGGACTATGGTTTCAAGGGGGCTGAAATTGCAATGGCTTCTTACTGTTCAGAACTCCAATTCTTGGCAAATCCTGTCACCAATCATGTCCAAAGCGCTGAGCAACACAATCAAGATGTGAACTCGTTGGGTTTGATTTCCTCCAGAAAAACAGCTGAGGCTATCGATATATTGAAGCTTATGTCATCCACATTTCTAATTGCACTGTGCCAAGCAATTGATTTGAGGCACTTGGAAGAGAATTTGAGGAATGCTGTGAAGAATACGGTCAGCCTAGTTGCTAAGAAAACTCTAACAGTCGGTGTTAATGGAGAGCTTCATCCATCAAGATTCTGTGAGAAGGATTTGCTTCGTGTGGTTGATCGCGAATATGTTTTTGCATACATTGATGATCCCTGCAGCGCAACCTACCCATTGATGCAAAAACTCAGACAAGTCCTTGTTGAGCACGCGTTGAAAAATGGTGAAACTGAGAAGGAAGCCAACACATCCATCTTCCAAAAGATTGGTGCATTCGAAGATGAATTAATCGCAAATTTGCCTAAAGAAGTTGAGAGTGCAAGAATTGCCCTTGAGAGTGGAAATCCCGCTATTCCCAACAAGATTAATGAATGCCGATCCTATCCATTGTACAAGTTTGTAAGGGAAGAACTGGGAACTGAGTTGCTGACCGGAGAGAAGGTTAGGTCACCAGGCGAGGAGTGTGACAAGGTGTTCACGGCTATGAGCAAAGGACTGATCATTGATCCATTGCTGGAATGCCTCAATGGTTGGAATGGCGAACCTCTTCCAATTTGCTAGTTCATACTTTTTTTATTTTTATTTTTGTTTTTTTGTGGTTTTCTACTTATCTATACATTCTTGTTTTATATTCCCGTTCCTAGGATTGTTCTGTAACAAAACTTTGGGACTAAAACTTCCTATTCCCATGCATTGGTTTGTGAACAAAATGATGCTGATGAATCTTAGACTCCATGTTCATTTTTTTTATTTTCTATTTTATGACGGGGAAATT